TGCCTATCATCTAGGGCTTTAATGACCTTTATCAATTCTAGGAAAAGCTCGACATCGGCTAGTTTCTTTAATAAACAAGCACGGGCAATAATGGGTGAAGAATAAGTCTGGCAGATTGACGTGGCAATGAAGCGAAAAGGCGATCCAATTTCTGAGATGCTGTCGATTTGTATTGATAATTTTCACAGTCTTGGATATACGTGCCTCAATGCAACTTGTACGTCGACTGTGATGTGCTGTCCACAAACAGCCCGATAGAGTCCAGCGTAGAGATGAAGTGCGTATGTACTGGACTATTCTATCAAATACTATTAGGGTGTTCTCTTTGTCAAATAACAAGAAACTCTATTTGCATAGCAATACGCTTAACGCGCGAGCGTTTACCTTTCCGTTGCAATCCTTCCTGTTTTCGCAACAGGAAAGTATCGTAAAATGGAATAACACGCCGCCTCCTTCAGCAGGACTTGAGGGAAGATTCCCTACCTCCTACTATATCCGGGTCAAAGACAGCCGCCGTATATAAAGCATAGTATTCGCTTCTTGCGCACGTGCGTGTACTCGTATAAATAATGAAGAACCCGATGTATCTTTAAGTGTGCAGATAGCACGCTTTATCACGCCGGCACCTCCCTTTCATGCTCCAGCTCACTCACACGCGACACCAACTTCGCATTCTCTCTCTCCAACCGTTTCACCTTCGACTTCAGTACCGCTGCAGCCACCACCGTTTCTCGCATATCTGACTTTTGTTCCTTGCCCTTCTCATTTTCATCAAATCGCCTCAGAACGCGTTGCAGTTCTTCAAACTCGTCGGTAGCCAGTTGTGACCGCGCCTCCGAGAAGATATCTGATTGCGAGTCGTTGGTTCGGCGTTCCTCGTTGTTGTTGCCGATCTTTGTGCCCTCTGATAGTATGTGAAGAGGTTGTTTACTTAGCATAAATATCTAAATATCGGTATGTAAAGGAAGATATAGGTTCGCTCAGATACCCAGACAATGCTTGGGAAGGGATATATATATATATATATAAAATAAACATACTGGTAAGAAGATTCACACACACAGAAACAAGAGCACAAGCACATTATCACCCACATATCCAATCATTAAGTCATGTAGATACACGTCAATATAAAATATTATTTGCATCGCGGAGGATGTGGTATGGAACATGCCAAAGATTCAAAGATTGGGTAGCCGCGAAACATACCCATATTTGGAATCTCCTTCCCATCGTACTGTTGCATGTACTCCTCATCGTTTACGTCGTCCAGATTATTGATATTGATACTTCGAATGGCGGTTAAACTGCCTCGATCTGCGTCATAGTCGTGCCCACTAAAGTAGACAGACGAGGGAAAAAAAATCAGATGCGAAAGGGGTTTTTTAATCCATTCTGAATCCAAATTACTGACTGCTCAACAAACATAAGGCTACCTGGCACCTACGATACGGCACGTCACCAGTTGTTCTAGGTCTTGACCCCCGTTACAAGGGAAACATATTGGGAAACAAAGAGAGACTGCGATACCAGCACCGCAATAGTATGAGAGATTTGTTTCCAATATGCGAAAGATGAACGCTGAAGTCAGCAATGTGCAGGGGCCGATGTAACACTCTTACAACGACCGATGAGACACTGCAGCACATACGAGGTACAATATATAGCCATACATGATACTCTTCTGCTACACAAGATCTGCACTCTGGCTCAATTCAGTCACACAGGCAAGTATGATATATAAATATGACTTTTACAGACACCAACGGAAGATACACGACGCACATTGGCTTCATGCCGTTGCCGGTTACGGTCAGCATATAACACAACCCCGTAACACCAAAAGCAGTTGAGACCTTGCGCATGTCAAACTCACTCGACTTTCAAACCGAAGTCAAACGAACATCAAGAAGGCACCCCGCCCTATCAGATACGATATAAGAAAAAGACACTCTACGATTAACATCAAGCGAAGACCATACACGCCACATACTTGAGGTTGACAGCGATGCCAATTATATCCGCACCGTCGCTGCTGGTGTACCGTAACATGTTCTGACCATCGAGTACACTGCTCGTCTCACTCTTCATTGCCGTAATACTACACCTATCAGCCTTCTGCGCGCTTGCACTGCTCTTGGTCCCAGGGGTACCTTCATCTAGGGACTCTGAGTCTCGCCTGTTGTCGATCACAGTGACTTCTTTGGGCACAGGCAGCGATTCCACCACGGAATAGTTCCGTTCGATGCAGTCGAGATTGCTCGTGTTTATCGAGCGCACGGCTGTCATACTCGTGTCATTCGTAAAAGACATGGTGTTAGCTGCCAGCCGGGATGTCCCTGCTTTATTAGCAGAGGCCGAAGAATGGTGCGTGGCATCTGAGCCGAAATTAACACTCTTCATTGCGACTCGGCTTGCCGCATCGGGTTCTACGTCTTCTCGGTCGTCGTATATGTCTGCCACACCCGCTACGGCCCCTGCAAACCGCAAATATATGTACTCTCAGTCCCTATTAATTGCAATAAAAAAATGCACCCATATATATAGCTAAAAACACGTCAAGATCTATATGCACACTATTGAGAGCATTTAAAGTCATCTAGCTGCGAATATTGAATAGTTCGCATCTTCGAAAGCGAAATCGTAATCACAGTATGAGTACAAGGTGGATAGAATTTGGAAGGATCACATCATGTGCGTGCAAAATCTGATCTCGTATCATGTGAAATCTGCAAGGATTTCTAAAAGCAGCAGGACACATCACACAGACAGCCATACTCAAATACCTCATATACATTCCATCAGTCTATGTGCAGTAAATAACGGGGTAGAAGACACTGAAGTTGTACAATCTTTAACAGCCAACGCAGAACATATAAACACCTTCTATGGCATTGTCAGCACTCCACCATACAGCGCATTTCAATTTCGCACCGGTTTCTCGCTTCTCTGGGCCTAGCAAAGAAATCCAGGAGCCCTCGTCAGGCGAGGAGTCTTTGACGTCCTGGTTAACAGAGCCGATAGACAAAGAATACCATTTGTTCCCCATATATGTTTAAACATATACAAAACATATATGAATACAATGCATTCATATACGAACATATATATATATATATATGTATATATATATATATATATATATATATATATATATATATATATATATATATATATATATATATATATATATATATATATATATATATATATATATATATATATATATATATTAT